TTTTTTTTTTTTTTTCAAGGCAGGATCTTGGTATGTTGCTCAGGCTAGTTTCAAACTCCTGGGCTCAAGCAATACTCCAGTATTAACCCCCAGTGTACTGGGTATGCAGGTGTACACCACAGTACCCAGTTCAGACAATACTTTTTTTCTAATGATAAAGTATCTCTAGCATCCCAACAGAATTTTAGGCATTTTGAGAGAAGAATTCACTTCTAACTCTCTATTGTTTATACTAGCATAATGGCAGGTGGACAGTATACATTTGATGAATGAATAAACACATAAGTTTAATTGTATGGCCACAGTTTCTGGTCTCAAGAGAACTCAGAAAAGAAACAAGAGTTGCCAAAACTATGTATATAGCAAAATATAATAAAGCACATACATATTCATTTTTACTACAGATTGAAGTATGGTGTATAAAAGCACTTAAATATATTTGATGATTCTGGTAACTTCATCTGTGATTTCTTTCCTGGTATTCCTGGCCTTAAGTGTTCCCTTTCCTTGGTATGACTACACTGTCAAGTTATGTGATTCATCTGACCCTATAGGAGAATAAGCCAGGTCTTCACACATATATTCTTTTCCTGCTCAAGCTGTTATTTTACACAGCTGCTCCTTTCTGTCTTTCCACCTCCAGCTTACACAGCACATCTTCCAAGAAGCCATTCTCGATCTACCCATCTCAGGCAGTGGAGATCTTCTCCTAGATGCCTACCATCCTCTCTCATTTCACCTTCATTTCCTTCATAGCCATTACTATTTGTGATTATTTACTTTTTGAAAATATTCATTCAGAGAGTGCTGTGAGCAGTGAAGCCATGGCACTCTACCCAGGGGGACAGCTTGAGGCTCTGTCTCAAAAAAAAAAAAAAAAAGAAAATATTCATTCAAAGATAAGGAATATTTTTTTTCTTTTTCTTTTTTTTGGGGGAGGGATTCATTGAGGTATAAGAAACCAGGTTATACCAATTGCATTTGTTAGGTAAAGTCCCTCTTACAATCGTGTCTTGCCCCCCAAAGGTGTGGCATACACCAAGACCCCACCCTCTTCCTCCTTCCCTCTCTTTGCATGAATATTTTTAATTGACTATTTCCCTCACTAGCTTGTAAGCATCAGGAAGGTAGTAACGACATCAGTTTCTGTCAATATCAGGGTCACCTGTGGCTCAAGTGGCTAAGGCGCCAGCCATGTACTCCTGAGCTGGCAGGTTTGAATCCAGCCAGGGCCTGCCAAACAATAATGACGGCTGCAACCAAAAATAGCTGGGCATTGTGAAGGGCACCTGTGGTCCCAGCTACTTGGGAGGTGGCTGCAGGAGACTCGTTTGAGCCCAGGAGTTAGAGGTTGCTATAAGCTGTGATGCCACGGCGCTCTACCCAGGGGGACAGCCTGAGGCTCTGTCTCAAAAAAATTTAAAAAATAAATAAAAATAAAAAAGTATCTAACCAGGGTCTAGTAGGGTACTTGGCACATATACCATGTAAAAGTGAACTTTATTTTAGATTACAAGTGGTTGCTTCATCTCCCTAATTACTGTCAGTACTTTGAGGGTAGGGAAAGTATCTTAATTCTATATGCTGCATGCCAAAAGTTCTGTGGCTCACATATAGAAAACATTTATTTACTGGATGAGAAAATAACACCATTCTTACCTTGCCAAAGCTGCCTTTTCCAATAACTTTTAAGAAATCAAAGTCAGTTGGTTTAGCACTGAAATAAATTAACAAGAATTAGTCCCCCTAAATTGGAAAGGTATTACCTTTAAAACATTTCTTAGGCCCACTCCTTAATAAATAAATGTTAGGCACAAAACACTTCATCCTTATGTCTCCGGCTTTCCCACTGGTAGCAACTCATCTTTTTTTTTTTTTGAGACAGAGCCCCAAGCTATCCCCCTGGGTAGAGTGCCGTGGCTTCACAGCTCACAGCAACCTCCAACTCCTGGGCTCAAGCGAGTCTCCTGCCTCCGCCTCCCAAGTAGCTGGGACCACAGGCGCCCACCACAACGCCCAGCTATTTTTTGGTTGCAGCCGTCATTGCTGTTTGGTGGGTCCGAGCTGGATTCAAACCCGTCACCTTAGGTGTATGTGGCTGGCGCCTTAGCCACTTGAGCCACAGGCGCTGAGCCAACTCATCTTTAATATATAAAAGGCAATATAAGAAATAACTACTTTCTGATTAGATAAAACATTTTCTAACTTTAAATCTCATTAAGCTACTTAAGAGGGACTTCAATAATAATCTCTTAGAGAGAAAAGATATATGTATATCCTGTATACACAATTTTAAACTCAAAGTAGCCTCTATCTAAACAAATTTTATTAGCCAAGAACCAATGTTGTAAAGAGGAAACTGAATATGTAAATTAGTGATACATTAGTGTATCTGGTAATTCTTCTGAAAAGAAAGTTCCTATTTGGAACACCTAGTGGAGATGCTAAGAAAATTTCTGATGGACAAAAACTACCATATTGTTTTTACATATAATCACCTAGTATACATTAAAGATAAAAAACTGGCTTATTCTCATGGATGGTAACACAGGAAATCCGGGAACAGAAAAAAAGCCAGAGGGAATATTAGGAATGCCTTTTTATTTAGCCTATCAGATAAAAACAGCATTGGCGGGTGGCACCTGTGGCTCACTGGGCAGGGTACCAGCCCCATATACCAAGGGTGGCAGGTTCAAACCCGGGCCTGGCCAAACTGCAACAAAACAATAGCCAGGTGTTGTGATGGGCGCCTGTAGTCCCAGCTGCTTAGGAAGCTAAGGCAAGAGAATCGCCTAAGCCCAGGAGTTGGGAGGTTGCTATGAGCTGTGATGCTACAGCACTCTACCCAGGGGGATAAAGTAAGACTCTGTCTCTATTTAAAAAAAAAAAGGAAAGAAAGAAACAGCATTGGATTTATGTTGGCAAAAGCACCCAGCAGCAAAAAGTTGAGATGGAGCAGCCAGAAAAAGCTGTTTCCTCCAATATAGTCTAAATTCCTAAGTTGTACTAGGGAGAGGGGAATGATTCCATTTAGATTTAAAATTTGCTTCAATTTATTATCAAAATAGTTAATTCAAACACCAGGACCAGGTTAAATAGTGACAGGTAAAGATTAGTGAGATAAATAGTTAACCAAATTTAGATGTTTTTCTTCTTCAAAAACCTGCTCTTTGGACTATTTTGTTCTCCAATAATATGCTGAGATATCAAAGTAATTTTTAAACAAATGTAGAGGGAAAAACATGCCAATCCCTCAAACATAGGGAATAGGGTAACTAAGGCCATCCCCATGACCCCACTGTTAACTGCTCAGATGAACCCCAACTAAAAGCCAATTTCCAGTTTTCTTCAATGCTATGAACGAGAGAAAAGAATGCTCAAAAACAAACTTCCTCTAGTTAACATTCCATTTCTTTGCTTTCCTTTGCAGGAAAACTCAAGTAAGTTTTGTAAACTGTCTCAAACCTGCTGTCCCCCTCCTCTCGTGAACCTCTCCGTCCCTCCCAGGCCCATCACACCACAGACTGCTCGGAGTTTAGCAGCCAATTTTCAACTTTCATCTTACCTGCACTAACAACAACATTAACAGAGTTAATTACTCCCCTGACTTTGGAAAACTACATTTTTGGTTTTCCTCCTGTCTTACAGACTGCTCTTTCTCTGTTACCAGTTTATTCCTTGACTTTACGATGCTGAAGTGTCCAGGACTCAATCCTTGGACCACTTCTCTCATCTGTCTATACTCACTCTCCAAGGAGACCAAGAGGGTGGAGAAAGCCTGGTGCCCTGGGATGAGATAATACTTTATAATTAATCCAATAAGCCTGTGAGGATAATTAAAGTAAGGATGCAACACTACAACTCCTCCAATCCATGGCAAATGTCATTAATCACTCAGGGCTTTCCTCAAACTGAGCTAAGCAGCCCTGGAATCCTTCTTTGTATGGAGTGTAGTAGGCATTCACTGCCAATGAACTGCTGGAGTTGACATTCGAGATGAAGTCTATACCTGCCAACCCTGATATTGTTCAGTATTACTCAGACTGTGTTCCTCAAAATGTTCCCCATGCTCAAATAAATGTGAATATGGGGAGAAACTGAATAAATAAAGCTTACTAGCCTTTAACATACTAATGTCCATCAAGACTCTGCTGGACAAACTGGCTAACAAGTAGGGTGAACCAATAACAGAGCAGCAGAAGGATATTAATCACACTTGCAAGGCACTTTCTTTCTACCTCATAGGTGCCTCTGAGAACTTACTGTCCCTGGGAAGCAGAAAAGTGACAATGACAAAACAGCAGAGCCCAACCAAAAATATGTGGATTAAAAACTCCTCAAAGCTCTACTAAAGCAATAAAAAGAGCAGCAATTAGTGAAGCGTATGACAGTACTATATTCACTGTAACCATGGTTATATTTCAGAGGCCTCCAATTAAACTGGTATAATTATGTATATCTGCATACTCTCAAAAAAGATCTTCCCAAAATTTAGTCAAAGGATTGTTTGAAACAAATTAAACCTACTGAGGATTTCCAGATGGTCCCAGGTTGATGTTCTGTGAGGTAGAGTGTAGCTGTTTGGATGGAAAAAAACAACATTTTCAATGGAGCTTCAAAAATTATCAATGTTTAGAAATAAAACATACATAACTGTAATAGATAATATGGGTATTGTCATGCAATAGAAACCTAAGGCCTTACTAAGTATATAGACTTATTTGGAAACATACAATTTTTTTTTTTTTTTGAGACGGAGCCTCAAGCTATCCCCCTGGGTAGAGTGCCATGGCATCACGCTCACAGCAACCTCCAACTCCTGGGCTCAAGCAAGTCTCCTGCCTCAGCCTCCCAAGCAGCTGGGACCACAGGCGCCCGCCACAACGCCTGGCCATTTTTTAGTTGCAGCCATCATTGTTGTTTGGCGGGCCTGGGCTGGGGATACGAACCCGCCACCTTAGGTGTATGTGGCTGGTGCCATAACCGCTTGAGCCACAGGCGCCAAGCCGGAAACATACAATAAGCATAATTATTTTTATCACAATAACTTCTAGGAATAGTTGTAAAGAAAAAAGTAAGCCAGAAATCAACCTCAAAGTTGGCAAATGAATGAAATAACCTGGAGGAAGCTCCTCGGAAGAGGTGGGTATTGAAACCACAAATTTAAGGGGAAACATTTTAATATTAAAGAAAACTATCTAAACATGGCTTATTTTTCAAATGTTCAGATAGGTAATTAAAGACAGAAGATAGGATACTGATGATGATTGTAAATTCTGGATTTCAGTTTTAATTTGATACTAGGTAAATACAGGCAAAGCAAATACAGACAGCAGTGCTTTTCCAATTCCAGCATTGTAGTAGCACCAAAATTTTAAAGGCTTTCTTCTTTGTGACACTTACAATATTGTAAATTTAATCTCTAATATTAATTTAGAAGATCTTTCCATACCTAGTATGACATAAAAAATAAAAGATTCTAGTTCACTAACAATTAGCCAGAAATTTGACTCAGAATCTCAAAAGATTAATCTAACAATCCTATCAGACCAATGTAGATGAATTCTGCTTCACATAAATTCACTTTGAAATTCTTTACAAAAGAAAAAGGAGACGAAAAAAAATTCTTTGTACATTCAGAGAATTAACTCAATTATAAATGTCTCAAATACATGCGCTTTTACTAGTTCTCTACATAATTATACTTCACATAAGTTATAAATATAAAAAGCTTTAAAAAACTCTTTAGGCTCGGCTCCTGTAGCTCAGCAGCTAGGGCACCAGTCACATACACCGGAGCTGGCAGGCAGGTTAGAATATAGCCCGGGCCTGCCAAACAACAACTCCAACCAAAAACTAGCCAGGCGTTGTGGCGGGCACCTTTAGTCCCACCTACTTGGGAGGCAGAGGCAAGAGAATTGCTTAAGCTCAAGAGTTTCACGTTGCTGTGATGCCATGGCACGCTACCAAAGGCAACATAGTGAGACTGTCTCAAAAAAAAACCTCTTTAATCAGAATCAAGAAAATTTTACCTTGTCATATTTCTTATCACTAACATATGTAATACATATTAACTTAAATTCATTTCAAATTTATAGTCCTCAGAATAAAAAATATTTTTAAAAATAAAGGGCAATTACTCTCATCCTTCAAAAATTCTTAAGTGTAAGTTTCTTTAAAAAAAAAAGTGTAAGTTTCTTAGAAAATAACAACACTAGCACTAGTATTTTGTTTACAATTCAAATTTATTCCCTCCTGATACCTGTATATGAAAAATCCTCATTTTCATATCCTAGATTTTCAATCCACAGAAGACAAAAATATATGAAACTTATGACAATATAACAGGAGACACAAAACTATAAATTTCACTAAATGAGATTAGTCCACTGTGGCTAATTTTAACATGAGAGTAGCCTTTCATGTTTAAATACTATAGTGCTCCACAGATTCTAACAATGTAATTCAAAGTAAGTTGTAATTTCAAGACACTTATTCTTTTTTTTTTTCCTGAGACAGTCTCAGTTTGTCGTCCTGGGTAGAGTGCCATGGTGTCACAGCTCACAGCAACCTCAAACTCCAGAGCTTATGCAAGTCTCTTGCCTTGGCCTCCGAAGTAGCTGAGACTAAGGCACCCGCCACAATACCTGGCTATATTTTTGTTGTTGTTGTTGTTTAGCTGGCCTAGGCTGGGTTCAAACCTGCCAGTCTGGGTGTATGTAGCCGGCACTCTACCCATTGAGCAACAGGTGCCACCCAACACTTATTCTTTTAATGAATGTGTACATAATTGGATCAATTTTCCATTCAATAAACTTCTCATATATAAATGAAGAAAAATAATTAAATAAGGATAAATTAAACAACATGAAAAAACTTGTCCTCTGAATTATGTTAATATGTTGCTAAATTTTTATTATTTGGCAGTAACTTCCCTAATGGAGCACATTTCTAAAATGACAAATATAACTGGGACTAGACAATTTTTCACTGTACCTATTTTTTAAGATAACGGCTCAGCCCTTGTAGCTTAGCAGTTGGGCGCCAGCCACATACACCAGGCCTGGTGGGTTCAAACCCGGCCCAAGCCTGCCAAATGACAATGACAACTACAACAACAACAACAACAACAACAACAAAATATAGCCGAGGCTCTGCGCCTCCAGCTCAGCAGCTAGGGCACCAGCCACATACTGGAGGTGGCAGGTTTGGATCCAGCCCACGCCTGCCAAACAACAATGACAACTACAGTCAAAAAATAGCCGGGCATTGTGGCGAGTGCCTGTAGTTCCAGCTACTTGGGAGGCTGAGGCAAGAGAATCACTTAAACCCAAGAGTCTGAGGTTGCTGTGAGCTGTGACACCATGGCACTCTACCAAGAGTGACATAGTGAGACTCTGTCTCAAAAAATAAATAAATAAATAAATAAAGATGATATCCAAATTAAGGGTGAGATATAATTTATTAACAAAACTAACACTAATTGAGATCCTAAGTTTCTTGACTTCTCTTGGCCTCTAGTTTTTCCTTTATACATAGAGCAGTAGGTCCACATGCCTTTTAAGGTATTTCAGTTGCATCTTCACTTAGTTATCTACTTAACAGTCCTTAACAGTTATAATTGTAAGTCAAAGTATGGCTCTTTCCTTTTATTAAAAGGATTCTTTTTTTTTTTTGACAGGGTCTCACTCTGCTGCCTGGGCTAGAAAGCAGTGGTATCATCATAGCTCAATGAAGCCTCAAACTCCTAGGCTATAGTGATCCTCCTGCCTCAGCCTTTATAAGTAGCTGGGACCACAGGCACATGTCAATATGCCCAGCAGATTCTTCTGGTTTTTGTACATACAAGGTCTTATTATGTTGCTCGGGCTAGACTTGAACTCTGACCTCAAGGAGCAATCCTCACAGCTTGGCCTTCCAAAGTGCTAGGATTATAAGCATGAGCCACTGCACTAGTCTTTAGAGATTCTTTTTATCAGTATTTCAAAACTTTAAGAGCGTCTAGTCCAAGTTTCAGACATCATGGATGAAAAGGTAACCAAAATCAGATCTAAAGGCCAGGCACAATGACTCATTCCTATACTACTAGCACTGTGAGAGGCCAAGCAGGAGGACTGCTTGAGGTCAGAAGTTCAAGACCAGTTTGGAGCAAGAGCAAGACTTCAATCTCTACAAAAGAAAAAAAAAAAGGAAAGAAAGAAAAGAAAAATTAGCTGAGTGTGGTGCTCAGAGGCTGAGGCAGAAGGACTGCTTGAGTCCAGGAGTCTGAGGTTACAGTGAACTATGATGATGTCACTGCACTCTAAGAGCCTGGGCAATAGAGTGAGACCCTGTTTCTAAAAACTGAATTAAATAGGCCGGGCATAGTGGCTCATGTCTGTAATCTCAGCACTCTAGGAGGCCAAGGTGGGTGCATTGCCTGAGCTCACAGGTTTGAGACTAGCCTGAGCAAGAGCAAGACCCCATCCCTAAAAAGGAATAGCAGGGTGCTGTGGTGGGTCCCTATAGTCCCAGCTACTTAGGAGGCTGATACAAGAGAATCACTTGAGCCCAAGAATTTGAAGTTGCTATAAGCTATGATGCCATGGCACTCTACCAAGGGTGACAAAGGAAGACGTCACAAAAACAAAAAAACAAAAATCTAAAATAATTAAGTAAATACAGTCGACAGTGGCAGAACAGCAGCCAGAACCCAGGAATCTCTCAGTTTGGCTAATTCTGCAAAGCCAGCTGTCTCCTATAGCAATGCAAGACATTCTTCAAAAGGACCTAAACCTATAAATTCTCACACTGGTAGCAAGCAAAAAGTGGAAAAATCAAGTTATGTAGATTTTAGTCTTTAAGATTATTTTGGGGCGGTGCCTGTGGCTCAAAGGAGTAGGGCACCGGCCCCATATAATGGAGGTGGTGGGTTCAAACCCAGCCCCGGCCAAAAACTGCA